GGATATAATCAGAGAAAAGGAGACATTGGTTCAGGCCACAAAAAAGTCATGATATAATATGTGGCTCAGAAACTTGTGTGCTAATCGTGGGTTTTCCACCATTTAGCTGATTTATTTGGTCAAGTCATTTAATTTTCTTGGTTTTCCTTATTGGTAAAATTAAAATTTGAGCCTTTGGTCAGACTTGAAGATTCCCTAAGTTTAAGTCTATACATGAGAGAGCTGCTAACTTAAACCTTTCTCTCAGTAAAACCCTTTTCCTTCCCTTAGACTAATGTGTGACAAAAAAATGAAGTTTACAAATGCTCTGTAAGCAGGTTGAATGCCCAGGAAAACATTTGAAGTGGCAATATGTCAATCATTCAGCTTTCTCTGCGTTCTTTGAGTAGTATGTACTGGGATACAGAAATAAGACTTACCTTCTCCTTTAAGATCTCAGAATTTATGGAAACAATTAACCAATTGTATACTTCATTGTAGGCTGTGATGGAACAATTAAGTTAATAATGCGAACAATTTAGGACATCAAGTCAGATTTGTGTTGGGCGGGAATAGTTAGACTGATTTCTGTTTAAATTATTCTCTGCATAGGTAATACGTTTACATAGTTCAAAATTCAAAATATGCAAGTATAAATTGAAAGCCTTTCTGCCACCTCTGTCATTCTACCAAATTTCTGTCCTCAGAAGCAACCCATTATTACTTTTGCATTCTATGGAAGCTAACTCTTGAGCTGAATCTTAAGAGTCATTCAGATTGGGTCACTAATGAAAGAAGCGGATGATTTTCCAAGTAGGAGAGCAGTTTTGTGTAACAATGTGGAAGAGTGAGACTGTCAGATGTGGAACATGATGTGATTAATTTGACAGTAACCAGAGTGAAGGGCTTAAATGTCACAGAAAGAAATTGAGATTTTAACATTTAAGTTTGTGATTGCTGTTAAAGATGTTTCTTGAAGCTTTTATTGTTTAAGTAGTATGTATCTTGGAACCATTTCAATACCCTTTTATAGTGATTATTGTATTTTTAATTAAAATCTTGTGATAAAGTTGTGTATAAGGAAATCTGGGGGAGATGTGACTCTCAGAGGTAGAATTCTCCAATGGAATGGACTAAATAACTTGGTATATACCTGGTTCCAGGTTTATGTATTCTGCTTTCTTTAAGTATTTTGTTTGCCCCAATAGTACCTTAATAATGGTAAAGTATTTGGTATATGTTAATATACTCTATCAAAAGTTGATTTTTATATAACATATTTAGAAATCATAACCCTGTGTTAAACACAGACCAGGCTTAATTGTTTTAGAGCCTATGTATACATAATCTCATTCCATCTTTTCAGCATTGTAGTGACTGTTTTTCTCCCCTTTTTAATGGATTAAGGAAACTGAGGCTCTGAGGATTTGAGTCACATAGCTATTAAGTGAAACAAGGCATCGGGTCAGATTCAGGCTTTCTGACTCCAAAGCCAGCTCTTGGATATTTCCAGGGCTAGTTTTATTACTTTCCAGGCTATGAGATAGGATAAAGGAAAAGCATCTGTAGACACTGATCTGTTGTGGTGTAACCTTTTACCTAAAGGTTGTTTTTTAAATCATTTAAAGTTTGTAGATGATAATGTTGGAGAGAAGGCCCTTGTTCCTTTGCTTACTGTGTTTCCCTGGTTTCTATTTAGAGATTTCTGAAGCTGATGTACATATATTTTTTCTTGCTATTATAGTTGCAGAGATAGTATCTTAGTTTAGCAGGTAGACATATGTCACATTTAACTTACTTTCTCAGGTATCATATTCCTGTACTTGGTAATTGTCATGACAGACTATTCAGTATATAAATTCAGAGAGAATGTTTATTGTCTGTTGGTTTTGAAATTTTTTTACAAATAGGAAAACAGTGTTTTCCTTTAGCATGCTGAAATAAATTCAGAGTAAGCCACACCTCAGTCTTTGAAGAAATGCTTATTTGGCTTTATATTTAAATTAGTATCTTATATTTATATATAAATACTTTATATTTAGTTTATATTGACATCAAATATGTTGTTAGAAAAGTGGTTTCAAATTTTATTTCTTGAGCAGAAGAGCATTTGTGACCAAATCTCCATAAAATTCAGTATTTCTAACAAATTTTTAATATCAGTTGCTGCTTGATGCCTTCAAATATCATAAGACTATGAACTTGAAATGCTCCCCATTAACAGTGTTTTCCTTGGACTCTTGATTTCCTCAATTTTACACCATTCCAAAACAAAAGTCTTTGATCTGGCCCTTCAGTATTTACAAATGGCCCTTTTGAAATTCGTGATCAACTAGGTTTCATAGACTTGACTCCTTTAATCTGAGCCTGCTAATCAGTGTTTTGAGATTAATTGTTGCTATTTGCTAAAAATCTCTCAGTGTATGGATAACATCCCAGCTTAAGTGTTCCAGAAACCAAAAATTTCATATTTTTAAGACTATCTTAAATGTTTATCCCTGGAATCTCAGCTATTTAAAAATTTTTATACTGCATAGATTGTATAACTCCATATGGCTTATTTATTTTGAATATGTATGTAAAAAGCAATTGTTAACTGCCAGCTCTTGCAACCTAAATGTATTTGTTGACATGTTCTAAAGACTTCTAAGTACACTTATAGTATTGTATTTCACAGATTTTTTTCTTTCCTGCCCCCAGGATACAGGTATAACTGCAGATAACATTCTTTTACACTTCTACCTTTGACTTATGAGAAACATTTCATTGTTAGTATCTATGCTAAAATGCTGGAATTTCATAACTAAAGTCTTGTGACTTTATTTAAAACCAATTTATTTCCATTTGGATTTAATTCAAATTAAATATGTATGTTTATGTTTCCAAATTCAGAATCTAAAGATCTTTTAAAGTATATCACCCTTAAAAATATATTGTTAATGTTCTTTAATGAATTTTTACTTCCAGACTTGCAAAGTATCTTCCAAGTTTACTCTTTGTTATTTTCTTATATTCACTACCTTCCTCTTTATGTCACTTTGTTAATTTTAAACCCAAGGTCTCCAAACAGACCTGTGTGAATAGCAAACTTGTTCCCATATGAGCTTGGATGAGACTGCTAAAGAAAGCCAGATTGAGTTTTCAGTTGGTTTAGTTGGCTTTCATTTAATTCGGCAGACAGATTTTCTAAGTACAGTGAAAAAAAAGATGTAAATACATCTACAGAGGGTACAAGTTGTTAAACAAACAATAGCAACCTCTTAATTCTCTCTTGATATTAGTCGGTCTAGTCAGAGTCAGTGCCTTCCATTGCCTTGGACTTAGTCACGAGAAAAGTGCAGAAATAGAAAAAAGAACAGAAAGGAGTTGAAGTAGGGAAAGCGAAAAGAACACATACTGAAGACTCCTAATTAATCAAACAGTTGCATTGGTGGCATGCTGGCATCTAGTGTCTATCTGCCTTTCTTAGTTTGGGATCATCTACCTTCCTGGTTAAAACTTAAAATGCCCCCCCCCCTTTTTTAAATTCAGTAGATAATATGTCTTAACTTGAGTTTTGTAATCATGGAATTCTCTTGAGTGTTTTATTTGATGATCATTGATACTTGGTTGTTATTCCAGTGGGACTCGGAAATAGTTTTCTTACTGTACTAATAATACTGCAGACTCTCCTAAGGCACTAGTTAGATCTCAGAATTTCCATGTTGTATCTGAAGTTCATTTTGATGGTAAAGATAATAGCTGTCACTTACTGAGCATTAACAGGATGCCAGGAACTTTATATATAGTCTCAGTTCTTGAACCACCCTGCAAGTCTAACTGGTAATATCACCATTTAACTGATTAAGAGACAGACCTAGAAAGGTTAAAATTTAACTCTGTTGCATGCTTAGCATAGTAGTTTAAGAGTATAAATGCTGGGACCAGATTGCCACTTTAGCTTTGTGACATTCGGCAAGTTCTTCTCTCTGATCCAATTTCTATGTCCATGAGATGGTAATAATAATAGCATCTACCTCTTAAGACTGTTGTAGTATTGAGTTAATAAATGTAAAGCACTTAGAACAGAGTCTGGTATGTGATAAGCACTTAGCTTGCTTATTCTTAGCTTGCTGCTATTATTCTGCTACAGCATGTATCAGGAATTATAGAAGTGACATGGCAAGTGTACAGGTTGGGAGTTGGGGAGACTATGGAAATATGCTGAGGTGGCAGAGAAACTGTTAGAAAGCAGGTTTGTTGAAAGGTAGTCACCTGAGAAACAACTTCTGAGATGCAAAGTGAAACAAGCGTGTTGGAAGCTTGCCCCATTAAGATTCTATAGTATAGCCCTAAGGAATATTTCTCCAGGGAATAGTAGAACTGGATGGTGATAAAGCATATAAGCTCTTACCCTTTAAAGGGACACTGTACAAATGTGAGAAATTAGAAAGCTCCCCTCTAGTTGCAGCATCATTTTTTGCCTTAACCCAGGGAAACCACACATAAATGGACTCTGAAGGTGGACGTTGTGCAGAGTCCAACCCAGAAAAGGACTCGGTCACCATCAAATCCTATCAAGTCGGTCCTGTGAAGAATTTTTATATTATGAAGGTTTAACTTATTTTATGTGAACACTATACCTGAGAACAGCTTTGTTAAACTGTTGATATGTGTAGGGATTTATAAAGGCATCTGATACAAAATAGTTGCTAATTAAGCTATGAGTTGATCACGCTCATATGCATATAAACATACACACACACACACAACTGGATGCTAGTTAGTATTTAATTTTATCTATATTACCCCATTTTTTCCTGCATTGTTGTCAGGGTCTGCTGGATTTTGTCCAGCTTTTAAATTTCTTTTGAAATGTTTTTAATCAAGCTAATTTGGGTGTTTTTTTTTTTTTTGTTTTTGTTTTTAATTAAAGTGGTTGCACTGTGTTAGAAATCTAAAATATTCCTTCTTTTTTTGAAAAGTAGTGATTTTACTGTACTTTCTCAACTTCATTTCCATTTGATTCTTGGGTCTCACAGGAATCCTTCAACTGCTTTCTACCAAGCGTTCCATTTGAACACGGTTCAGGAATCAAAGAACCTCTGGGATAGGTATGAATACTTGCATATGAAATGCATACATGCAACAGTGTATGCATGAATTGCTTTGCACTATACACTGGTTTCTCATCATTAAAACTGATCTTTATTATTTTGGGGGGGGGGAATCACATGATATCTAGCATGAGACAAAGCAGCAAAATAAACCAAAAGGACAATATATTTTAAATAGAATATAAACATACTTTCTTTGCATTTTTAAGTATGTTTTTGAAGGGCTTACTCTATTGGATTTTATTACATGAAATGTCCCCTTACCCATGTGTGTTTAATATAAAAACATGTTCTATTAAAAAAAAACTACAGTTAACTTTGTGCTGTTTTATATAATTTCTCTCTAAAAAGCCTTAGTGACTCAAAGCAGAATGTTATTTCATGTTAAGAAATTGGGGAAGGGAAAAGACTAAGGTATCAAAGTAGCAATCGTTTAATTCTTGGCAAGACATTTTAACCTTAAGATTGTTTGGTCACTATATCTGCATTACAGTTTTATAAACCCCTAAAATAGTTTTTCTCACAGAAATGTATAAAATTTTTTTTGTAACTTTTTAAAGTATAGACTGAAGTCTTGGACTTCACATATGGCAAAAGATACTTTGGTTTATCTTTCTGCTTAATACGCATTTTAGATAGTATATGCTCTGTTCACTTATTTTGCTGAATATTTATTAGCACTCCATCAATCTGTGTCTCATTAACAGAAGCTGAGTGCAAACAATGTTTTTAAAATTCACACAAAGCTTTGTTAGATTCTTTTAACTCTGCCTGGCAGCGCATTTGTGTCCTTTGGCATAATTTAGATAACACTTATGGACTCAACTCCATCTCTCATTAGAATAAAGTATTGCTGCGTGCATGTACATGTCAAGCTAAGACATGGTCTGTAACAGTCTTTTAATTCTTAGGCTTGATTTACTGTATCACTCAGGATATTTTCTAACTATCTTTTTGATAATGTGTTCCTTACTTAATTGGAAATGTCTTTAAGTGGTTGCTTGTAGAACAAGAAGTTTATAATGTATAGTGCTGTATTTATAGATTCAATGTTTAAATTGTACAGCTATAGCAATATCAAGACATAAATGTAAATTGTGGCATGAAACAGCATGAAGTTTTAATCATTCAGATGGCTTGCCAGTGTAGCCAGGGTGAGTACTTTGGGAATGTACTTTGTAAAAACTTTTCCCTTAGAGAAAGGAAAAATCATACTCTTCTTAGAAATGTTATAAAATGTTTTTTAGATATATGATAATTTATTTGAAATAGCTAACTTTCATGAGCTACCATGATAGCAATATGAATAATACATATTATTTTCATGAAAATGATGTAGAAAGGTTTAAACTTTACTTTTTATAATTTGGATCTAATTAAAAGATTTGTTTTCATTATAAAGCAGCCATAGAAGTTGCTTCCTCATCATCCATTACCGCTAAATACTCCTTATGTTTTCTTTTTTAGATCCTAGAAATATTTAAGGTATCAGAAGTGAGGCAAGTTGCTATATCTATAGTTTCTCATGGATTGAAAATACTTTCTCTTCTCCTTGGAGCTCTTTTGTCCAGAGCCAAAGAAGTGCAATGGATACTTGGAGAGTTGTCTGTAGTGTTCTAGTGCCAAAATGTAATCAGAACTTTAATTCTAGATCAGCCATTCTTCACTGGAAATTGACTTGTTACCAAGATGATAAACTCAACCCTGTGGAAACTGACTAGTTTCCTTTTAGCTCTTCATCTAGCTTAATTTTCGGTTGAGAAGAGGAGTAGTGGCTGGCTTTGTTAGTTCTAAGCATCCGCAGCTTCAGTTAGGCACCTATAAACTTTTTAGTAGTTTAATACCTGATGAAGTATTGTGGGACTGTTTATTCTTCTTCATTGCAGACAGATTAATGTGTGTTAAGCTTTGAAAAAGGTCTCACCAAATTGCCTTGTTCATTTTTGACTATTACAAATTTAAGCTTTTTAAAATATTACTAATTTGGCAAGTCAGTATTTAAGGATGATATTATTAAATAGAACCCATTAAAGGATTTAAGGGGCTATACACGCCTTACATCATTTACTCACTAAGAGGTATACATTTGTCTATCAGTGTAGATATATATGGTTTTTCAGGCTCCCATTTATGAAATCTTGGAAATCATTTTCAGTAGGGGCAGCTTTTAAGCCCTGTGCTAATTTTTATTAAACCTGCCCTAGATACCTGAAGATTCTTGGGTTTGCCTTACTCAAAAGACTGGGATCTTTTTTTTTCTAGAATTCTTTTAGCAGACTATCTTTTAATCAAAATCTAGGTAACTAATATATCTCTCTCACATTGACATAGAGCTGTCTAATGGCCTTTTTGTTTCCTCTACTACTTAAATTAGAATTAGCCAGCTGAGAGACTTTGTGTCAGTCTGCCTCTGCCTGTATGTAGATGGTTCCTCTTTCTGTTGATAGCCAGTGCTTTATTCAGTCATGCTGAAGTTGAAGCTCCTGTCAAGCCTTCCTTTCCCTTTTCCTGTAGGTGCCATCATTTTCTGTCTTCCCCATTTGTTATTTGCAAAGTCCTCAGGGAATCAGTCAGCTGAAACCATCACCAAATAAAGAACAGTAGATTCTGATAGCTAAAATAATACAACTTTTTCTTAGGAAACCCAAATTAATTGCATTGACTATTTTATTAAAATGAATAATGTAGCTTCCAGGTTTTACCTTTTAAGCTCTGTGTCAATGTTTAGTGATAGCCTAGCCCGTTGGCATTTCAGAACAGTAACTTGAAAATTTGACTTCCTATTTTTCTTCTTTAAAAAACCAACTTTCCAAACTTAATTATTGGCATTGCTTTGTTGCATCACAGAATTAGTTTAGAAAGTTACCCTGATAATCACTAGGGGATAGGCTCTCACTGGGAGTCCTTTGTGTGCATAAGCTAAGGGTAAGAATTCATAGCAAACAACTTTTACCCTGTTGTAAATATCAAATCAGGAAGATAAAGGAGTACTAAAGGGAAGAGACTTTACCTCGGGTAGACTAAAGAAAAAAATCAGGTAGCTTGTAAGGATTTATCTTTATTGATAAATACTTAGAAATGTTTCTGCCTTAACAAAGAAAATACTTAAAATGTAGTTAACAATTAGAGTAACAGTGGCTAGGTACACCATCCTCTTGAGTCTTTTTGTCCTTCCTTATGACAGCAGTAATATTTAAAAGAAATGAATAAGGGAAGTAGTGTACATGAATTATTAGCTTAAAATGAATAAGTCTTTGGGTCTTTTACTTGGCTACTTGATGATTTCAATTAAGTCTTTATAGTGATTATTTACTTTCCTCTATTTATATCTGGTTTCTCAATTGTTGCATTAAAATGTTCTTATTAAATAACATCAAGTATTTTGTGTTAGGAGTATCCCAAGTGGCTCAGTGGTAAAGAACCTGCCTGCCAAAGCAGGAGATGCGGGTTTGATCGCTGGGTTGGAAGAGCCCCTGGAGAAGGAAATGGCAGCCACTCCAGTATTCTTGCCTGGGAAATCCCATGGACAGAGGAGCCTGGTGGGCTACAGTTCACGGGTTGGCGAAAGAGTCTAATACAGCATAGCAATGAAACAGCAACAAATTTTGTGTTAGAAAAGGCGTCCAACATTTCCTAGGGTTATGAGATTCCACTTTTGAAGTTAGGAGTAAATCAGAACCAAACTATGAGATGATTTCTTCTGTCCTCCTCCAGGAAACTTGGATACATCATTAACACCCACTTATTAACCCAAAGGGAAAAAAATCAAGTTTCAAGAATTAACCATGGTGGGCTGCTTGTTAGATTGTAACTGGTTAGTGTGCTGTCTTTTGATAATTACACTGTAAGTACTTTGAGGATATGAGCCCAAACTGTTGTGTAACCATACCAAATACATTTCTTAATAATTTGTACTTTAAGTACTTATGTAATTTATTATCTGATTGTATTTTGACCAATTCCAATTAAGAGTATCTAGTAGAGGATAATCAGAGATGCTGAAAATTAGAGGAAGTTTTAATGGCCTGTCATCTTTCCCAGGTGGCACTAGTGGTAAAGAACCCGCCTGCCAGTGCAGGAGACATAAGCGACCCAGGTTCAGTCCTTGGGTGGAGAAGATCCGTGGAGGAGGGCATGGCAGCCCACTCCAGTGTTCTCGCCTGGAGAACCCCATGGACAGAGGAGCGTGGCAGGCTCTAGTCCATGGGGTCACAAAGTGTTGGACACGACTAAAGTGACTTAACACCTCACCTTTTTTAGGACTGGATCTCAGAGGAAAACATAAGAATATGCTTATAAAATGTTCAAATGACATTAAAGCAGGAAGTCATAGCTATTATTGGATGATAACATTTGTGAATTTAACTGTCTAAAGTATGTGCAGAAATTCAGAAAGTGAAAGAACATGTATGTAAATTAAGGAAGGTTGAAACTTAAGCTGAATAGGTAGAGTAAAAAGTACCTAGATACACTAGTTGACTGTATTTTATAGTTACTGGTTAGCAGATGACAGGCCTGCCACAAAAGCTAATGTAATGTGAGGCAATATTTATATAACTAGAATAAATAGGAAAAGATGGTGACAGACTTACTGTACTTCATTTCTGTAGGCTGCTTGCTCTAAATACAAAGTTAACTAGAAAGTCTAATTTATATTCCACCTGGACAGCCAGGTGGGTGTTTCAGTAGGAAGACTTGAGCTTATTTTCTGAAAGAAAATGGGTCCTCTGGGAAATAGCCCTGCCATCACTAGAAATAGTAAAGTGGTCTTCCTGGCTATTAGGAATGTTTGAGGTTTAGAGCCAGTTACTTTTCAAATCCCTACTGTGCAGAATATTATTGCACCACTTAGTTCTAAAGGAAGAAGGAAAAGAGATAAGAAAAGTTTTGAAATTGATCCACTTCATTCTATTTTGTCTTTGCTGCCCATTAGTTTCAGAAAACCTCAAAGAGCTGTGTATTTGTTTAAGGAATGGAGGCTTAACAGACCTTGGGAA